GGCCCAGCTTGCCAGCCTGCTGGTCCGCCTCCAGCTGCGTGAGCAGCTCGTCGATCTGCCCGATCATCTGCTGCACCCGCCTGGTCAGCCTCTTGCTGGCCTTGGACTCCTCCACCTCCATCTCCTTGCCCGTCTTCGAAAGCTCCTTCTTAATCTCTTGCAGGTCCTGAAGGGATCACACCGTGTAAGGATCGTCCTCACCACTTACACGCGGTCACACGGTGACTAACGCACACCGGCACCGCATGCCGTGCCCGGCACACACGTGCTCTGGGCTCCGCGGACTCGGACACCCTTGTCCAGAAAGGAGATGCAGTCTGTCTGGCACCGCACCCTGCGTGTGTGGCGAGTGACAGATCAGAGTCAGGGCGTCAGCATCGCCTTTCATCCCTCACCAGCTTCGGGGAGGGGGAGCGGGGGGTGCCTGAGTGTGGGAGGAACCTGCTCTCTCCAATCAGCCATCTTTTCCCAGCAGAGCTGTGAAAGCGTGGCTCCTTTAAGTCCCATTAGGAAGTGATGCTGATAAGTAACAAAATCAGTGACTATGAAAGAAAGTCAGGAATGAATAAGACTTCACTCAGCAACCACCCCGACGCCACCTGGCGCCTGCAGGTGCGGAGACACCAAGGGCGGCTGCTGCCAGGAGAGGCAGCTGGTGGGCTGCACCGGGTCCCTGAAGAGGACTTGGTCAAACCCCCTTCCTCTCCAAGGGCCTGTAGTAATAACACGGCCCTTTGGCCTATCAGATATTTAATGGAGGTATTTTTGGAAACTGGAAGAAACCAGTCTTAGGACCAAATCCCACAGGCCCCCGGCCCCGCACCCTCAGCCCCGCCCGCACCCTCAGCCCCGCCCACACCTCGCTGTAGTCCTGCACGTCTTCCTTGAGCAGCTCCAGCTCCTCCTTCTCCTTGGTCAGGGACGTCTTCTGCTCCTTCAGCTTTAAGCAGGCGTCGCTGAGGATGTCGATTTCCTCCTTGGTGATCTCCTCTTCCTGGGGAGGAAGCAAAGCAAAGACCCCGATGAAGGGGGTCCCTCAGGGGGGGCGGGTCTCAGGCGGTGCACAGGCCACCCTCTGCTCCCCTCGTCACGGGCGTGGCGCTGGTCACCTTCACGCCCTCCAGGACGGGGGCCGTGTCCTTCAGGGCCTCTGACGGCAGGGTCGCATCCACCACTTCCGGCTGCAGCTCGGCCACAGGCCTCCCAGGGGCAGCTTCCACCGCTTCAGGCGCCACTTCCTTCTGAAACACAGGCCGGGGCTGCTCAGTGCCACCCACCCACGGCCTTCCCCAGGCGCCCACACCGCGTTGATATGCCGCCGGCCGGAGGGCACACTCAGCAGCCAGCTACGTGACGGTGGACTCGGGTCGCCCAGCAGCATGACCTGCCTCCGTCGGTCTCAGTGCAGGCGACCTGGTGACCAGGGGCATGCACAGCCCAGCCTCTCCCACCCTCCGGCTCTTTCCTGACCCCGGCATGGAGCTGCGCGGGGACGCGTGTGAGAGCTGGAACCCGCCCGGGGCCGGGGTCCTGAGCACAGCCTGGCGGGCTAAGCTGGCCCTGGGGCTGCCCGAGCACACCTGCCCGACCATGCCGACCACCAGGAGGAAAGGGGGGCCCTGCACAGCCCGCCCCCACGGCAGGGCCTGCGGAAGTGGAGCAGAGGCCGTGCGGCACCCAGCGCCCGGCACTCACCGCGGCCTCTGAGCGCCTCTGCCGCTCCTCCCGGTGCTCCTGCCGGATGGCTGCCTCCTCCTGAAGCGTGGCCTCCAGCTTCGCCTTGTTGTCCACCTGCTCGCCCTCCACCTCCGCCGCCTTCACCTGCGCTTCCTTGGCCTGCAGAGAGGGCGCGCCTGGGGTGAGCCGTAGGCTGCCACGCCCAGAGGCCCACACCCCTGTCCCTGACTGTCAGCCCCCGGGCTTGGAGGGCACAGGACGTATGCGGGGGCCCCAGCTGCAGGGTCACGAGGCCCGAGGCCCCCCATGGGTCTCACAGGCCCTCACTGCTCAGGAAGGACAGACCGACAGAAGGGGGAGTGGGTGGGCGCGAGGGTCCCACGGCTGTGGACGGTGTCCTGTGGTCCTGCCCTCAGAAGCCAGGGGACCCCTGGAGCACAGGGCAGGAGGAGCACAGGGCAGGAGGTCCTCCCAGCCACACGTACCACGATCTCGGGGAGGGTCTGCAGCGTGGACTTGAGCTGGTCGGCGGGCGACAGGGTGTCTGGGAGGTACATGGCTCGGGACAGGATGAGCAGCGACGTGGGGATCTCCTGCTGCAGGTGCAGCTCCAGCCACTGCAATCGAAGGTCGAGACCTGGCCTCACCTACCGGCCTCACCTGCCGCCTCGGCCCACCCACACCTGAGACCTGGCACTCCGCTGCCCTAGCTGGTGGGGGAGGAGGGGGAGGGGGCGGGGCAACAGCCACACAGGACTTGGGTGGGTGGGGCCGATTCACTGCCTCGGTTCCTGACTCGATGCCCTCTGGTCAGCGGCACGAGACACCCGAGGACCCTGAGTTGGCGTCCGGCGGACAGGCCTCCAGGCGCCAACACTGACGGACAGATTCGCTGCCAGCCAAGTCTGTGCCTCAGAATGGCACCAAGCCCTGACGGTGGTGTTTGTGAATTCCCGCGGCCTGGGGGTTACCACCTGCTGTGGCCCGGCACCACATGAGGCTATTTTAGCGACAAAAAGACAACATCCAAACCGACAAGAGACCCTGACAATATCCGGACAAAACTGGACACAAGACAGAAATGAGATGAGAAGGAACTCAAAGATCAGGGAGAAACGCTAAGGAGAGTAAGTAACCAGCGAGGACGCTTGGACCGCACGCCCGAGCGAGCTCTGTGAGGCAGGAACGCCGCGTGCACGCTGGCCCTGGGCAGGCACAGGGCAGGGCCCGCCGCGGAGC